TTGCTGAAAACAACAGCCCATTTGTCAGAAAACAAACTTCATTCTCCAAAATAAATTCAGTCCTGTAAAATGCAGTAGTGGACACATTTGGTGCCATTGGATGGTTGCTGAAGACATTTGTCAGAAACTCTATGCCCTAACACAGCAATCTGATTTCCCCCCGAGAAGCTCATTAGAGGTGAAAAAGAACATTCAAATGCTTTGGTCTTTTCCTGAGACAAGTCCATAATAGCTGTGCCTGCCTGGGAATGAGGAGACCAAGAAAAACAAATACCATAGGTAGTCTGGAAACTGAAGAGCCTCAGGGGAGGTGCTGAGGTGGAGTGTTATCTGACAAGGCAGCAGGAGAGCTCAGGAGCTGGAAGCACACACCAAAAAAGATGGGAAACAATTGAAGTGGATTCTGGGCATCCACTGAGAGTGTGAAGTGATGGGAACCTCAGAAGGTTATCAGCTAGGAATGGCAAACAGTAGCAAAACAGAGCTATGGCAACAGAGCCCAAGGGCTGAGCTGAGGGCTCACCAGGAATGTCACACTGGAGGACACACACAGTCCAACAGCTTTGTCCAAAATGAGTTATTGCATACAGGGGGGTAGAATGACTCTGTGGGTTCTGCCAGTGAAATCCAGGCTCACAGTTTCACTCCCATCTCTTAGGACATGTCTACATTGTGTATTTGGCCTGAAGCCTGAGCTCAGGGGCTTTGGCCTGGCCAGTCTCCTCTGGTTGCTGCTCATGTCCAAATTAGCAGAGCCAGTGTGCCTCCCTGCTGAGAGAAGGCACCTGAGAGCCCAGAGGGAGAAAAGGGAAACTTCTCAACCCCCTCCTCAGCTGGGTTTGGAGCCCAGCAGTACGAGGGCTCCTCCTCTGCTCCAGAGCAGTCAGTATGAGGTACCCTGTGGCCCATGGCAGGGCAGAGGGGCTGCTTTCCTTCCTTCCACTGCCTTAGAGCTCAGAGGCACCGAGGAGCTGGGCTGTGCCACCTCTCAGCTGCTGCTCTCTGCTATTAATGCATATTCTTGTGTTGACATTGCATCAAAGCATCTGAGCACACCTCAAGTCCAGGAAAGCTGGATCTTTGCTTCTCAGAAGAGAAACCTCAGTGTCACTGACCAGGCTGAGGTCAATGACCCTGTTTATTTAACAGTGGGGATGGTTAGTAAATGGCGACATAAACATTGATTCAGGCCCAAATCAAACACAGAATGCAAACCTGGCCTGAGTGGGGCCCAGTTTACCAGTTACTTCCCTCTGCCAAGAAAGCAGAGCAGAAATTCAAGAGGGATGAACTGACAGTGGAAAAGCACAGCTAAACAAAATGACATGTCTACAACACACTATTACTGCCTCAATGGAGGCAGCCTACAAAAAACCCTCAAATCATAAAACACTGCTTGGGTGCAGAGATGCCATTCATGTCAGGATATAGCAGAGCTGGATTTTGACTGCCTGGTTCCACAAACTATTTAATAGGGATGGTACCCAGCAGCAAAACTGCAGATCTTACAGCCTTCCTAAACAAACCTCTCCAGTTTCTTTCTTCATTTGCCTTATACCTTTTGATGTGATACCAAACAAGTTAACAGGGAAAAATGTTCCAAATAAAAAAAAAACCAAACAATAGCTAAATGTTGGGAGAGCACTGATACAAAGTAAATATCACATTAGTGATTATAACCATAAAAAACCTGAAAAAAAAAAAAATCCCACAACAACATCAAAACCAGAACTGCAAGGAACACACTGTTAAAAAAGGGGGGTGACAAGTAACACGCTCATTTGATTCTGGCCAAAATGCAATTTATTTCAGTCTTTAAAGGTTGCGATGAACTGTGTTGGGTACTGATGAAGAGTAACTCAGTGAATAACACTAAAATAACAAGTCAATTTCAGAAAACCCTTATGCTTGTACGGGATTAATTAATGGAAAAAAGGCAAAAGTCATCAAGTTTCTTTTAGAAATTATTCACTCATGCCTAGCAATAATAATTAATTACAAAATTAGCAGGCATGGGACAATAGACTGATTAGTTTATAGCGTGTCTACCCTAAAATACAATTAATTAGGAAAAGACAAGTAGCTAAGTTACACAATGAAATTAGATCTTGTCTTTTAATTGTAACTAATTGTATCATCACCTGTCTGTCCCACCAGTATCTAAGCCAATCACTGGCCTGCAAAAGAAGAGACAGCACATTGGTTAAAAAGGATATAGAAAATAGTAATCCTTATCAAAAGAAACACACACTAAATCCACAAACAGTGCATGTTAGAGGTCTGTTACAGCTATAATTCCACAGCCTCTTCAATGCCCCCAGTGACTGTTAATTATGGATCAATAGCACTTTAAAAATAAGAACAAAAATCCTGTAGCTGAGACCAGCAATTGTGTTAAGAATTCCTACCCCCCAGAGCAGACTGCAAGGAAGGATGATAGTTAAAAGACCAGTATCTGGTTGAAATTTGGTCAGCTGTTATTAGCAATGTGCCATTTATCATGCCTCACACCTGTTGAGCTCATTGACATGACACAAGTTATACCATGATGCTTTCTCTTGCCAGACTAGCTTTACTTTAAGATTGATCATCTACTCAGTGAGAACTTTCTCTGCAGGTGAGGGACAAAGGGAAAATGCAAATAGTACCATGACATTAGAACTACTAAAATCAGGCTCCTGCAAACTCTGGCAGAAGATTTTTCAGAGTTTGGGGTATTTATAAAGTACTCCTTCCATGTACACACCAATGCCAAATAATGTATGAACTCAGCATGTAGCCTTCTGCATTGGTAGAAAATGTACAGGACAGAATTATGGGATCATCTTTATATATACTCCTCTCATTTATTACACAAAGTTTTGAGAGAATAATGTTTTTCTGATAACTCATCCCTTTAAAATTGAAATTAGCCACAAAGTACAATATGCAAGCCATATTTCCTTAGGAAATCAGATGACAAAGAACTGCCTTCATCCACTTGCTTCTGATATTCTCATTCCATTCATGTGTCAGGCTTCTCAGTTCACTCCTGACAACACAGGCATAGGAATGTTCACCTCAAAAACAGGGCTTTGGGGTTCTGATCACATCACTGAGAAACTTCAGAGTTTCATGAATACCACTGAAAACACAGCACTGTGAAACAAAGCAAATATTTGAAATGATAGCACTAAAAACTCCTCTACCAAAATACTCAATAAATTTCTGGATTGGTGCCATTCCTACATTGCAAATTCACAACTATTTTAGATTTGTGCCTTTTTTTTTTCTTCAAGGCTATCAACTCAATAGTTTTGCTTAGGGATTTGCTCATTTTGACTTTTTTTTTAAATGTATTTGCCTTTATACAAATGTTGGATATCTCAGTTTTGCTTACACATTCAGTGCTCAGATGATTTGCTCCAATGGTGCCGGTAATCTGTGAAACTGAAATACGTGACAGAAAAGCTCATGCAAAAGCCATTCAGAAATAAATCTGAGAACTGGAACCAAGGCAAGGGATGATGACATGTTTGCATCCATGCTACATAAACACAAAAAGCTTTGGGGGGCTTTAGTTCATCAGCATTCACATGTTCAAATATGGGAACCAGTTTCTGATCTAACCTCATGCAACTGCCCCAGAGGCCTCTAAAGAACAAAGGGGATCCAAAGTTAGAAAGCAGAAAGATAAAGATACTGGGTGTTTCTACAGCAGCACTAGAACATCTGGTGCAATGAGCTACTACATCTCAAATTATCATTTAAAAAAAACTACTGCCTCCTTTGCTGTGTTTACAGAAGGAGGAGGATGGGGAACAAAATCAAACTCACTCAAAGAAATGTTCATTAATAAAAACAAACATGCAAAAATATAAAAAAATCAGAGAGCTGGCTTTCTGGAAAGCCATGGCCTTCTGAAATAATACCTGCATATTTGGGGTTTGGGGACTGGGATTTTCACCTTAAACGCCATTAAAATGAGAAATTGGTCACATAGGCACTGATCAATGGACATGACATCGATGAAATAGTGCAGCTCATTTTTCTGTTCAACATTAAGAGTCTTATGATAAGCATGTAGGAGACAGTGTGCACTCTATAAATATTATGTGATGATGATGATTCTCCTTTGATAAATGTATGAACTGTGAGATTTGTGTATTTCCATAGCAACTTTAAGTCTTTGTTTGTCTAGTAAAGAAAAATACCATCAGTAATATCACTGGCAGTCAGCTTTCTTTACTTGCATGTAGGAAGAAAAAGGGATGGAGAGAGAGTAATAAATATGAAGGCTGGCATACTTGAGATTGTTTCAGTACTGTAAATTGCTTTCTAACTATTTAAGTACAACAGTTACATGCTCTCTGTTGTATTCAACTTAAAAGTCCCATCCATTTGCTGATGTAAAAATTAAAGATGTGTAACTTCTCCTCCATCTTGATTTGCTAATACACATTCAATACAGTTTCAAGACTCAAAACCCTAAGTGCTTAAGAAAAAAAGGATTAAGATATCATTAGCTGCATCCCAGCTCCCTGTAAACCCCTCCTGTCATGATCCATTAACTGCAGCACTGAAGATACAGATTACTGGCTTCACTGTACGCTGTGCTAAAGGTAAATAAACATTATCTACAAGGGGGGTGCAAGCTTTTTGAGATTCAGAATAAGCGAAATATGAATGATCAGAAATAGGAAAGCATTCAGTCTCTGCTTTAGCAAGGTCTAATTTTCACTTAGAGTGGATGTTTAATAAATAAGCACATAATGGTACAATGGGAGTGGAGTGACTGGGACCATGGACATTCATGTCCCAGGTATCAAAGTGGATTATGCCCCACAGTACAAACTTCCCCCTTGCCATGTACAGATCCTGCTGCTTTGGCTGGCTGGAAAGGAATGCCTTGCCCTAAGCAAAGCAATGTCTTTAGCAGCTGAAATATTCTAGAATTTATCATTCCTGCTGCAGTAACATTCTGCATGTGTACATTTCTATTGGTGATTTTTTTCCTGCAGAAAGAATCTTAGCAAATCTAAATGATTTCCTGAGCTGTTTGATGACCATGTTAATATTATTTCATCAAGAGTTCTGTCTCCCACTTGCTAAAGGATCCATACACCTGGTATGTATTTTTTTGTAATGATATTTTCTACAGTTTGCTATATAAGCAGTTGTCAGCTTAGAGTAAGATCTGCTTCCTGCCAAATTTTCTGTTCTGCTCCACATCTCACTTGTTTATGAACCTGATTTGTTATGGGTAGACTCCTCAATGATATGCACTATGCCTCTTCTTAATTTATTTTTCAGCCAGTGTAAAAAATCTTTTTGAATACTTGAAAAAGTCAAATAGGGCCAACTTGTTCAATGGTTTACACTGGCATCATTGTGCCAGGCTTAACAGAATAGCGATTATTTAAACCAGCTGTTTATTTAGTCCATAAAAGAACTGAACAGCAGGTAAAAGTATTAATTACTCATTGTGAAAAATTAAAACAAAGTTCAGGAGCTCATATTCTGCCCTTTAAAACCAATAAAAACAAAAGCCTACTTTAGGTACATTTTATGAATAATGACTGGGCTGACTGAGGTATTACTTGCACCATTTTGGATGATCACAAAACCATATTATCCTTAGAAAAGGAAACCAGGACAATATCACAGTCTGTTTGTGGCCCAAGAGAGGGAAGAAGCACACTCGAGTGAGCAGCCTCTGGTTTGTTGAAATCCCCACATTTCAGTTCATGTTTTAAATGGTATTTTTTGTATTTTGCAAATAATTTTCTCTATTTTTGCGCAAAAATGCTCAAATTGATTTTGGAGCAACAAATCTCCTGCTTCCTATATAAGTAGACAAAATATCTGGAGGAGAGTAAGACACATTCTTTCTCTCTGACCTAAGGAGTATGAAGCAGGAGAGTTCTGAAAAGAGAGTAAGAAAGAAACTGCTGATCCTCAGCCTCTCTGTACCAAAATAGGTTTGAGCCTGCTGGACAGAGCAGCTGAGCCAACACACTTTGAACCCTCCTGGGATCTAATTTCACAGTTTGCAACACGGGGCAAGGGCTCCATCCAGGACAGATTTACGCGGAAAACTGAACAGGTGATCTCCTTATTGCCACTTTCCTCTCTTGCCCCTGGAGCTTGTAGCAGCTGTGCAGTTTGTTTCCCCTCACATGTGCCACTGAGGATGCATCTTTCCCATTTCAATTACAGGGGTAGCTGTTTGCACAGCAGGATTTGCAGATCCACTGTGGTTTCTGCAGAACCTTCAGTTTGCTGAATTTTCAGCAGGCAGGTGAGCCAGGCTCTTGCACATCACCAGATGTTTCACTTCTGTCAAAGTGCAAGCACCAGACAAATTTCTGGTACCTGGCAGCAGCAGAGCTCTATTGTGGTGGTGTAGAAGAACAGTGAGTGTCAGAGATGCTTCTGAACATCAGAAAGGAAAGAGTTACGCACCTCCCTGATGCACTGGAACTAGCATGGAGTTTGGAGAATTGCATTTTGTGGTTTAAAAACTTAAACTGGTGTTCAAAGGGATGCATCCCCTTCAAGCTATTGGAAGCTTAGGCCCTGACTTTGTGAAATAGTCCCAAACAAACCAGAAGTGGCCACTATACTACACTTATTCCACCTGAGCCAATTTGCATCTTATCCCAAAAAGATTCCACACCCCTACATTTGTCCTGGCAGGCAGGCATCTTTACCACCAGGCTATAACTGTTTGTTGTGTCTCTTCCACCTCCTTTTCCTGAAGCTGCTGTGTAAGCATTTCCACCCACCACTCAGACTAAATTAGACACATCATGCTCTGTGACAGAAGGCAAAGTACCTTGCTGTGGTCTCAAAAGCTCTGTTCCAATCCCTGCTAAAGGTTTGCTCACCTGAAAGGCTAATCCCAATTGATAGCTGGTTATTACAGGTGACCACATATCATTGCTCTGGGTTGTGTTAGCCAGGATGGGCCATGTGTTCTAGGGTGGTTCTTTGAACTCTGGAAAACCCCACTTGCAGCTGCTCCTCACCCCTTCATGGTGGTTACAGATCCTTTTTAATCCTTTTGTGGAGTTTTTTCCTTAGGGAGCCACATTTTGTCTGAAACATCTGTATTGCTGAGTTTATTGCACAGTCAATTGAAAATACTGCCTGTTGTTCCAGAGAATAACTTGGATTCAGACAGTAGGCTCCATGGGTCTATGATACCCAGGGGGATGAGCTGAGATAAGTAAATAAACCATTTTATCTGAAATTGGGGAAGTGAATGTTGTTCACACGTTTCTGTGTCACTCATGAAGAATTACATATCTGCATTTGTTAATTATTCATAGAATGAGATGGGCTGGTTGCAGGGGAATCTCCTCACCCCATCACATTACTGATACAGAAACATCACTGTGATAGCTATGAAGTCAGAGCTCTAGCTAACTGAAAATTTCCATCAGCTCAATTAAGTGCTGCTCATGGTCTCTGTAGATGATCAGCAGTTGCTGCTGGACACACAGGACAGTTCATGCACTTATAGATCTGTTAAAGCCAAACACAAATACCAGCAGTCAGTTGAATCCAGCAGATTGCAGATGTTCCTTGGGAAAAAAAAGCCTTTAAGATGCTATGCAGTGATGGCTACTTGCTACAGAAATGAATCAATGTGTGCATGGTGCTCATATATGAGGCTGCAGGAACATGTCCTCATATTCCTTACTCACAGAAGTCTGACAATCATGTCTCAGCCTGAAAATCTCTCAGAAACACTGATGAAAATTACTTTCCATCATCAAAAAAGTATTCACACCTCAGCAAGAAGCCAAATAAGGACACTGTTTTGGGAGTGTCCCAGACACTGAACTATTGTTTTTAATCCTCTTACTTAAATACGCACAAGCACAGAAATCTCCTAAGGTGCTTAGCTCTGTATTTGACAGAAACAATCCATGCCTGTGCAAAGGTAAGGGAAAGGGAACTGAGCAGACATGCCTGCAGCCCTGAGCAGGGAAAGTTCATGGCCTGGGTCAGCAGACTGCAGGCACAGAGCAGATCAGCACAGGTCACAGGCATCCTGCCTGCTCCTGACAGGAGGGCTGCCCATGCCTCAGGAGGCTCTCACACAGCCCACACTTCAGATCCACAGGGTACTGGGGTCTTATGTGCAGTGCTAGGCTGGCCCTTCCCAGCAAACCCGCTCAAAAGCCAGTGTGGAAGGAGATCATCCTATGAAGTAGATTCCAGACTAACAGGAAGCTTTCTTTTGTTTTGTTTCTCAAAAGGGTTGTCTGAACCCAGCAGAATTTCTGTTTGCAGCCCTTGCTACATAAAGCAGCTGGATCCACCCAGAGCAACTTAAACAGCAGCCTAGGCAAGGACAAAAACACAATTCTATACCTCTGGTTCCTTCTCTCCCATTCTTTTTGTTTTCTTGCCTCTTTTGTTCTCCTTTTTTCTTTCACCCTCATTCTTTACCATTATTTTTTTCTTCCTTTTTTGCAATTTCACTTCCACTGCCATCTGTAACTCCTTTTTCCTAACAGTGCTACTCAAGAAGAGTTCATGCACACTACAGAGCTGTGTGTAGTTAGTGCCACATGAATTGGAGGCTCTTGGGTGATAGAATCTGCTTGTACTTGCACTTGAAATAGCAATCAGTATTACTGAGTTATATAATGGGAGGAAAATGTGAGACCAGACCTGTCTGCAAGACTTCAGATAATAAATATGGTTTGTTTGTTGGGTTTGGATTTTGGTTTGGGGTTCTTTTTGCAGGGAGGCGTTGGGTTTAATACTAGTGAAACAAGTGAATACACATCCATGAGAACTTACAGAGTTAGGAAGATACAACTTAGGCAAAATAGGACATGCAAGACTAAGACTAAATGCCAATAAAAAATTCACTACACAATATTGTGAAACCTTGGGGGTGGAGGGCAGGACTGGCAGGTTTTAATACCAGATTTTTTTTGTTTCTAGACCAAATTCTCATTATGAACATCAGAAACTACAGAAGTACATACAACTAAGCACTATGAATATTTGTGCAACTTTGAAAAATGTCAGAAATGGGGAGAAAAGTTGTGTGTGATGAGACCTAGAAAATCTGTTTGTTCCTGGTAGCTACTCCTTAGCAGCCATCAGCTCTGCTGTTAAAACAAACATCAAAGGTCTGAAATTCCACAATGACTTTTGATGTCTGCACAAGTTCAGTAGTTAAAGTTGAAGACTTGTCACATGAGGAGTTTATGCCAATTATAAAGCATAAAAAAGAAATCACACACATGCAGGCATATGTTCATTATTAAAACAACAAGTCCACCAACTCTCCTTCTCCATTGAATGTTTGGCCTATTTTATGAGAAAAGAAAAATGAGAAATAGCTCCAGTTTTCAAGGTAAAATACTTGAAAGAAACAAATAAATGTCAGCAGTAGCTTTCCCTGCATGCCTTCCTTTTTCTACTGAACTGTGCTGGTACATTCTTCAGCTTAACCCTCACATGCCCTTGTTATTTCTCTCTAATGGATACCTTTTCCCTGTTCCAGTACAGGAGTCTGGATTGCTGCTTTTTACACCATTGGCCAATAGACAAGTTGGTTCCCAATGTCACCCAATGGGATAAAATAATTTTCCCTATTCATTTAAAAAAAGAAATTAGATTACAGGTTGTCTAGATGTTGTTTATCATGCTTGCTTTAGCTGCCCCTTAACACTGCCAACACTTACAAGGCTGTATTTATCCCATAAAAAATGAGCAAACAGACCCCAAATAGGTGCAAACTGGCATAGCTTTTTAAAAATAATTTTCCAAATTTTTTTGCAAGCACAAGCTATAATATCTTAAAGCTTATGGGCATATTAAGTTAGAGTGGGAATAGATAATCTTCAAAGCAAAACCACAAACAAAATCAAGCCAAATTGCTCATTTCCCTGACAGGTAATGGGGCAGGGAAGGGAAGACTTCTTACCTGAAATTATTTTTAATGGAGTCATTTTTAAATTCAAGTGAAATTCTCCAAAACACTGTAACAATTTGATATCCAAACCTCATTGTCTTTTCAACAGGTGAATTCCAACCTGCTGAATTTCATGGTGAAACAGCTTATGGGGGATAGTGATGTATGAATATCTCTCGGAAAGGGTGCAACACCTTCCCAAGACAAGCAGATTCCTGTTGGAAGCACAACTGTATTTCCTTCCACTTAGCCTGATTCACTGCTGCAAACCCACCTTCCCAGATCCTGCACTGGACAACAACCTTGCCACAATGACTACCAGAGCAAACCAGCAGGATAATGCTTGGAAGCCCTCCAATTATAGCTGACATATTCAGGGGTTCCCGATTTCCTTCCACAGATTTTGGAGCCTGACAGCCACCATGGCTCCAACCTGAGCAACCCTTGGCACTTCAGGGAGCTTCCTCAGCTGCTTGCCACAGGTTGGGAGCTTCTCAGAGTGCCCCAAGGAAGCAGGGCAGAGCCAGGAGTCAGAAGTTATGACACCTCTTTCATTTAGGAAAACTTAAACCATGTTTGCCCATTTTCCTTTGAGTGGAAAATTTTGAAATGTCGCTTTTTGTTCCAATTCAGTACAAAAACATACTGGAATTCATGTCTCCTCAAGCACAGCTCCCCATCATAAAACTTCTGAGTCTCAACTAGTTCTTCTGTCTTCAATGCCTTTGAAACTCACCCCCTGAGCTCTCTCTGATGAAATCATAAAAGCAAATGCGTGCTTCTACTTCATATTCAGTCAAATACCAGATGTTTAAATATTCTCATCATATTCAACACACAAATATCTGTTCAAAAGTTTTGTTTCACAATATTGTGGGAATTACTCTCCTCCATACAAATGCTAATATTAGAATGCTAGAGAGACAATTCATGCATAAATAAGAGCATTTATGGCTATTCATTGTTACTTGCTGTTCATTTAGGTGTTGGTGAGTAAGGTAAGAGCGACTGGCATAGTCTGCCTTGACATGTGCAGAGTGTTTGACATTGTTCTGCACAACACCCTTGTCTCTAAACTGGAAACACAGATTTGGTGGATGGATCACTGCTGGTGGGTAAGGAATTGGCTGGGCAGTCACACCCACAGTGTGACCCCACCTTGAGTATTGCACCCAAGCCTGGGGTCCCCAGCATAAGGGAGATGTGGATCAGCTGAACCAAATGCAGAGGAGGCCAGGAAAATGCTCAGAGGGCTGCAGCTCCTCTCCTTTGAAAACAGGGTGAGAGAGTTGGGGTTGCTCAGGCTGGAGAAGATGCGGCTCTGGGGACATCTTACAGCACCTTAAAGTACATAAAGGGAACCTACAAAAATGTTAGAGTGGGACTTTTCTCAAGGAGAGAATAGGGGATAATGGCCTTAAACTGAAAAATGGTAGGGTTAGATTAGATTCTTTATTGTGAGGGTGGTGACACCTTGGCACAGGCTTTCCACAGAAACCGTGGATGCCCCAGCTCCGGAATTGTTCAGGGCCAGGCTGGATGGGGCACTGTAACCTGGTCTAGGGGGACCTACTTTTCATGTCTTAACCAATCCAAACCAGCCTATCATTATTCTTCTTGTAAAACAATTATATCAAGCAAATAATAGCCCATGATTTCTGTGACCAACAAACACTACACAAAAAGAACAGGGAATGAAACCAATGTAAGCAACAATCTGGGAACTTATTTCCCAAAACTGATCTGTAAACAGTTAAACAGCAAAGTTCCAAAAAGAGAAAAATAGTGAAAGCTGTCTTCTAAACACACTACTGGCATTTCTTCAGCCACCTTGGTAAGAAGAGCATCCAGCACAAAGGAATTACCTCTGCCACCTCTTCCCACTACCAGGGCGTGCCCTGCTGCCTCAGCTGAGGAGGGGCTTTTCCACAGCTGCCTCTGGTCTACCACCACTGCTGGCTTGTGGGAGCTGCAGGACTGCTGAGGAACATGCCATTTGTGCTGGAAAGCATCCTAAAGCTTTTGAAATCCCAGCTGCCACAGGCTGCTCTTGGGAAAACAGGATCCATAACATCTTGGTGCAAAACTGTATCACTGCAAAGTAACACAAAAGGGTTTTGTGCCATGGTAATCGGATCCCATCTACAGCATTCACTTTAAGACAAATAGGAAGTGATGAATGAGACTCAAATTCTTTTTGGTATGCAGATTTTGTTAAGACCAGAGACATGGTTAAGGAATGCAGTGGCCATACTTTCTTTTCCTATGAGCTGTTCTGAGTGGTTCTCTACAGTATTTCTTTAGCAATGAACTTAGAGCTGCTATTTGTTCTGGGAAATTGGGTCACACGTACTAAGGAGATGACAGAAGCCAGGTAAGGTGCAGTATCCTCTACGTGAGCATCACCCAAGAGTGACATCCCGAGAGGAATATGGCCATGACATCTCTGGCCACTCTGCTCCACTTCACTAACATCCATTTCTCCATTTCTAGAATAGTTATGCATTCTTGGCCTCACATCTTTTGGGACGATGCCCTGTCAAATACAAGGGCCATTAGCTATAATTTCTGTTTGCCATTCTTTAACATTCACACACACCATATTCAGGGGAGGAAACTGCAGGGATCCCCTTGCACTGGGAAATTGTAAGAGAGTCTATCTGCAGGTGACAATGAGCTCATGAGCTCCTCTGCTTCAAATAACACCTGAAAAGGCTTTGTGGATAAAGAAGGGGAAGCAGAAATAGGATGTTTCTGTTGATCTTTGAAAGCCTTCCAACTTCAGCTTTTCAGCTGATTCAGATGCATTGCAGGCTACCAGCTCCAAAGTTCGGCAGGGGCAGAGACAGTAGCAAGCTGAGAGGCTCTTTGGCCCACTCTGTGCTCACCTGTCTGGCACAAGGAGAAGCAGAGCACAGCCACGGCCCCACTGAGTCAGCACAGGCTCCTTCTCCAGGGATCCTGGCAAGCATCAGTGCAGCCAGTGAAGCTGAGGTCAGAGTGTCACAAGTTCAACTGCAGCTGAGCCTCCAATATCCCATAGGAAACACAAGCAAATTTTCTAGCATTCTACAGAGGAATACACAGAGCTGTCTGCACCACAGAAGCCTCAGAGGATTACTTATCACAAATCAACGAGTCCATCCCAGAGCCACAGTCAGAACAGCTTTGGGCTCGGCTGCAGCTCATTTTTGGCAACACATAAGCACTCATGCCTGCTTGAAAGACACCCTCAAACACAGTGTCAGTGTCACATCAAAGGTTTTGCTTGAAGGGGGAGGATAGCACAACTTTCATGAAGACTTTCCCAAGAGTGGAATGTAGTGTAGGAAGTATTTTTGCTACTTAGTATTTTACACATATAAGAGCAGCTCGAGTCCTGTGGGAATGTACAGTTTAAGCCTTGGATTATCACTGTGTTATCAAGTCAGGCATACAGTTGCAGCAGCAAAAATGGCACACAATCTGAAACTGCAAACTCAAAATTCAGGTGACAACCAGACCTGGTGGAACACCGTATGCTGTTTTTAATTATATTATTCAGCAAGTTTGACAGATTTAATAACTTCACTTTAATATTTATTGCCAAAAAAATTGTCTGTTGACTTGTTGTGCAAGTATTTTTGAACCATGTAATAATATTAGCCAAGATCAAAACAATTATTATGAATCTAATTATTCTAAAACCTGGAACATTAAAGGTCACTAAGCCTGGCTCTTGGCAACTACATTTATTTACTTTCTGTTTCTGACAACTGACTTTCAAATACACTAAAGGCGCCTTTGTTCTCAGAAGTGTCCTGTTAGGAGAAGTGAAATGCTCATTCTCCATTAAGGAGAACATCTCAAAAACCATTAACAGCCCATCATTGTTGAACACTAAAACCTGTTCTCCTAATGGATGTTATGGTGCTACTTATTCACTTATACAGCAATTTTATCAATTTTTTGTGGTATTCTACTACTCATATTAGTGTTTTCTAAGATGCTTCCAAAGCAGAAGTTCCCTGTGGTCTTGGAACATTTTTATTAGCTCCTCAGGAAGCCAATAAATTGGAGCACTTGGTGTAGAAAATGAGATCCTATGCCCTATTTGATATGTGTTTATGTTCTATTGGAATAAAGAGATGTGCTACAGATAGAAATTCTGTTCATTAGCTTGTATTTATTATCAGACTGCAGCTGCAGCCTTTGGGCTGGCTGACATACTTAAAGTGTTTTCTAATATAATAAGTACTTTGGAGGAAAACAGTGTTAGCATTATGAAGCCAAATTCTAAGACAGTTACAAAAAAAGCTACTCTTATTTACTCAGTTAACTTGCTCTAAGTTGAGCTGACATTAAAAGCAGGATTTGGGCTGCATACTTAAATATATGTTAATACACAGAAAGAGAGTGCAGTGCCAAGCTGTCTGAAATTGCAGACTCCCACTAGTGAACCCACACCACACAACACAATCTGTCATGTCAGGAAGACTTCACAGCACTGGTCCAACCCAATCCAGTTGGGACTAGCCTAACCCAGCAACCTCAGCAATGCCCATAGTTAGAGCCCTTTGCTGCTAGAGTGCAGCATGGCCTGACCCAGAACCACCCCACTTCCACATTCATGCAAAAGGAGTCAGCTCAGGCTCATTTTCAGCAATTAATTTAGAGTCTAAATTAATTTAGACTCAGTTGAGTCCTCAACTCTTAGAGGTGTGAGCTCCCAATTTGATGTGCAGAGCAGTCCTAGCAAATAGTGACAGTTCAAAACACAGCTTCAGGAGAGATATTGTCTAGTGCTAAACTAATGTCACCACTGAGTGCTACAGAAGAGTGGATGAACCTAGTAGTTATTACAGATATGTTAAACTTGTCACATATGCAAATTCAATCTACCAAAAGATGGAAAATGCCTAAAATGTGTTTCCCCAGGAAGCAAGTTCACAAGGAAGAAACAACAGGAACAGTTTCAAAGGACAGGGGATGGAAACATGGGGAGAATTAAACTGAGCCCGGTGCAGGGAGAGCATGGCCACAGAAACAGTACATTGGTTTTTTTATTCACCAGCCACTGGAGGGAAGACATCAAGTGCTTGGACAATGGATCTCAACATTTTTGTGGCAAGAACAAATTTAACTTTTACAAACAATGGATGTCACCTTGCAAGACATGACTTTTCTATGATGACTTCCAGGATCTTGTCACAGTTTCTGGTTTCTCCTTTACCCAGGTACCACTCCATTTATCCAAAGTCTTGTCTCACTCCACTCTTTTCAGCTTATAAACTCCTACCCCAGTCTCTAGCTCCTTGCTTGCTCTCACTTATCCCTCATTCACAGTCTTCCTGACCATGTCCTTTTCTTCCAGTTTACCCCCCACACTCACTCGTCCCCATTTGCAGTCTCAGCCTCACTTCATCAGAAGAAAACTTGCTCGTGATCCAGTCTCAGCTTTGTCCTGCCTTGAACAACCCTTAAAACCTGGGTTGTCCCACCCTTGTCCTAAGTTCTCCTCCTTTCTTATCATCTCTGCACCAGAAAATAGATATTTTCTATCTGATTTGCCCCACATCTGCACAGCCAGCAGAGGTGATCACAAGGAGAACACACAGAGCACCTGGATGCCCTGGGGGGATGCTCAGAGCACCACTCAACCTGAGGTGAAGTCACCTGCTTCTACTGAGAAAATCTGAACCAAAAGGTTTTGATATTTGGCTTTGATCAAATCCATCCTAGGTCAATGTCTTGAAAGCAGAGCAAAAGCAATCCCTGATCCCAGAACCACCTCTAACTTGAAGTTCTCCTGGAAACACAAAAGCATATCAGTAGAAGAAAAAATGGGAAAATTCTTTTACCAGAGTGAGTAATATTAGGAAGGTATTTCAGCTGAAATACAATACAGAAAAAGGACTCTCTTCACACACACATTATTAACTTGAAAAGAAGACATTTATGTCAGGATTCAGAGATTTTCTCTCAGAGAATACACTTCAAGAACAACTTCCTAAGTTAGTCCAAGATTCCCCAAGCTCCCCACACCCTGAAATAAAGAATTACAGTATGTACTTTCCTGAATGGTTTTGCCTAGAAATCAGACTTGATGCCCTTTTATTTTTCCCCCAATATTCAATGGACAGCAAATATGCAGCATGAAGATTTTTACCCTTATCATTTAATAACCTATCTGTAAGAGAGAGCTGTGATAGTGTTAAACAATCTCAAATACCACTCTTGCCATCAGGTCTGATGAAAAGATACAAGGAGAGAAAACTGCAAATGCAAGAAACATGGAAACAGATATTACATAAGCTTGTCAATGCTCTTTGAGCAGTATGTAAAAATACAGACACACAGATCAAGATAGGAACAAACCTGAATGGGGTTTTTTGGCCTTAGGCCAAATAAATAATTCTTCACTCTGGAATTCAGCATTAAGTATTAATGGGTCATAACTGCCTCACTGCTTGGAAAGGGTCAGGTTCAAAAGGAAACCACAGGGTTTGTCCATTGCCTCTTTATGTCTGACAAATGGCTGAGGGTTTCCTGGAGATAGAGAGGTTGTGCCCAAATGTTTGGTATTGAAAGAGCAGAGAGACCTGTGAGAATTAGCAGAAAGGTGAAAATCCCTGAGGCATGACCATGAAAAAAAGCTGAGAAGAAATCAGACACATTAATATTAACATTGAACTCATTTTAAGCAATTAATTAGTATTTCAGAGAGAAAACACTCATTAAAGATTTAGCTGAGTGTAAGAAGTCATAATAACCATGTTACCTACACCCTCACTAGCAAAGAACAGGTTTAATATTCCTGATGTTTTTCAGACAAAATGAATGGGAACCAGATGTTATTTTTCTCCTTCCAGGAGGGAAAATAACTAAAAATTGAGTACACTGTTGTGTTTGAAAAATTATTTTCTAATCAGAGACTTTTTGTTTTGTTTGTTCATAAGTAAGCTATTCGTGCCTTTGTATTTGAAACACCTACTATTTAATTACTGCGCAATAATTAGTCCAAAATTTACTTGAGCCCCCTGCCTCTCCATCCACATATCATAATTTGTGGGAGAAAAACTTCTCAAATGCTTAGGTTAGCTTTTAAAATGGCTTGTTTCTTTCAGATTTTTCTGCTCATAAGCAGAAATTGGGACTGAGCAGCTGATTTGTTACTTCATTTCTTATAGTTTAACCTAGAAAGGACCAGACCGTCTAATGTCCATATACTGGTGTGCACAAATGCCTTTGCACGTGTAGCTAACACTAAAATCCTCATTTTCAGTCCTCAAATACAGGCAAGTGGTTGGTACAACAAAGTCAGCAAATACTATTGGTGTAACAGTTAATTGAAGACCTCTAGATATTTCATATAGAAATATTTTGTATTCTGAAGGGAGGGAAGACGTGCAAAAGCAGCAGTACTTCAGACAACAGTGTACAAGAAAGGAGCTAGACTGCAAGTATGGCCTCATCCTTCCCCTACAATATCTCTGGC